CGGCTGAGTCGAATAACATAAACCCCTCTTCCCAAGCCATGGGCTAATGGCACTATCTATGGGGATGGCAGTAGCCATGATCTGAACAGAAGGTGCTCTGCATAGCTGCGTGACTCCTAAGTGAACAGCATAGGACCAGAAACAAGTGTGCAGCTTTAGGCAGTGCCAGAGAGCGTGGGAGGCATAGAAAGGTGGGAAGTTGAGGAATATTAGAGCCCCTCAAACCTCAATCCCCCTCCATCCCTCAGCCTTCTTCCAGCATATCAACGCCTGAGCTGTGCCGCACAGCCTGCTCTGCACGACTGAAGGACATGGATGGGAAGTCAGCTTTCTCATATGACACGGTAGATGAGTTGGCCACTGAAGCACTGTTACATCAAGGTTCTTGAGCAGGTGTTTAATATTAGTCATTCAAAAGTACTAAGGTTATCAGTGAATTCAGTGGGACGACTTGTGCTTAAAAATAGTTTAGAAGTCAGTTTAAAATTAGTTTAGTTCACTGAAATTCATATAATCACTACATAAAATGTTGAGATATGATTTTTCTAGCATCATTTATTACGTGTTGTTTGGGGAATTCATTTTTATGTGATCTGAAGTTCTTTCAACTATTTCCATCTTTCTTGCTTTCACTTTACAATTAGGACTAGTAAAGGTCCATGTAGCGGTGCCCAGAGCTTTGAAAATAGTTAGAAGATGACAAATAGTAGCTTCCACAGATGGATTTTCTTTGTGCTTTTAGGTTCAGAAGAAATGCTAAGCTATACTGAGACAAATGCTATTTCTAGGCTTATGTTGTGTTTCTGTATATGGGCAATACTAGGTGTTTTTAGGAAAACGAAAGAAGCTTGACTGCAAATAAATCTGGAATGAGCAGATCCAAGGGGAAGTTTCTGTCTAACCTTGGTCTGTTAAAGGCTTACTCTTTCTCCTTGTTGCAGGATGCGGGTATGTGAGGGAGGGAATGATACCCTTCCTATTGCATCAGTTGTTGCCTGATGGAAGACAA